ATCCTTCAAGTCCATGAATATGAAACCGTAGATTTTAGAAATTTCGAAGTCTGCCTTGAAAAAGACAACAAGTACAGCTACTTTTCACCTTTCAGCAAGCAATTTGCTTTTATTCAATACGTAAAACCAACATATTCTTTTGACTTTTTATAGATTATATCCCACTCCCAAAGAGTCAGATACCAAGATTTAGGACTGCATAAGATTTGTCAATATAAGAGAGAAATAATGATCACATTAGTTGGGCTGTTTGGTTGAGGAGAAAGAGAGAATTGCCACACCTTAGAAATCGTGTTAATCTATAGTCCATCCTTTTGTGGTCACCAAACATACTATGATGGAAATATCAAGCACCAGTACAGAGTTACAACCTCCAAAGTTTGCTCTTCCAGTGGACTCAGAACACAAGGCAACTGAGTTTCGATTATTCTCTATTGCGGCACCTCATATGCGAGCATTTCATCTCTCTTGGATTTCCTTTTTTTCTTGCTTTGTTTCTAGTTTTGCTGCTCCACCACTCATTCCAATCATTCGTGACAACCTCAACCTCACATCAACAGACATAGGCAACGCTGGGATTGCATCAGTCTCGGGTGCGGTCTTTGCTCGGATTGCCATGGGAACTGCTTGTGACTTATTTGGACCTCGTCTTGCGTCTGCCTCACTAATTCTTCTAACAGCACCAGCAGTATGCTTCACCTCCATTGTCTCATCGCCTGTCTCCTTCCTCCTTGTGCGTTTCTTCACAGGCTTCTCCCTTGCCACTTTTGTCTCAACACAATTCTGGATGAGCTCCATGTTTTCTGGTCGGGTGGTCGGCACTGCTAATGGTGTTGCTGGTGGCTGGGGCAACTTAGGAGGCGGTGCAACACAGCTCATAATGCCCCTTGTTTTTGCTGTAATTCGTGACACTGGTGCAGCCAAATTTACAGCTTGGAGAATTGCTTTCTTCATCCCTGCCCTCTTTCAAATGTCAACAGCATTAGCTGTTCTGATATTTGGCCAAGATTTGCCTGATGGGAACTATCAGCAGCTTCAGAAGTCCGGGGACAAACATAAAGATAAATTCTCACTTGTCTTCTACCACGGGATCTCAAATTACAGGGGATGGAGCTTGGCCCTGACCTATGGTTATTGTTTTGGGGTGGAGCTCACAATGGACAATATAATTGCCGAATACTTTTATGACAGATTCAATCTGAGTCTCCAAACTGCAGGAATTGTAGCAGCATCTTTTGGTTTGGCAAATATAGTTTCTCGACCTGCAGGAGGGATAATTTCTGATATAATTGGCAGGAGGTTTGGAATGAGGGGAAGGTTGTGGACTTTATGGATAGTGCAGACCTTGGGAGGTGTATTCTGTGTAACTCTTGGGCAGGTAGGATCCCTAGGTGCTTCCATAGCGGTGATGATTTTGTTCTCATTGTTCTGCCAAGCTGCATGTGGTCTTACATTTGGGGTTGTTCCTTTTGTTTCTCGGAGGTAAGATTTTCACAATTTCATTTAACAAATACATCGTTAAGATGTTTGATCTCTGTTTGGTTTAGCTGTTAGAGAATAGTTACTAACAGTATAAGGCACCCTTATTCATTCGATTAGAGAAAAACAATTATCAGATGTTCTCTGATAGCTAAACCAATTAGGCCTAAAACCCACTCTGGTCCTTCTGGATCTACCTAATCTCTCTTTTATTTTTTAGGTCCTTGGGTCTCATATCAGGGATGACTGGAGGAGGTGGAAACGTAGGTGCAGTTTTGACTCAATTAATTTTCTTCAGAGGAACCAAGTATTCCAAAGAAACAGGGATAACTCTCATGGGTGTGATGATTATATGCTGCACCCTTCCATTATGTTTGATCTACTTCCCACAATGGGGTGGGATGTTTTGTGGTCCATCCACTGGAAAGGTTGCCACAGAAGAAGACTACTACATGTCTGAATGGAATTCAAAAGAGAAAGAAAAAGGCCTACATCAGACAAGCTTAAAATTTGCAGATAACAGCAGAAGTGAAAGAGGAAGAAGAGCAGAGTCTGCTACTATGCTCTCAAATGCAACTCCACCTCCAAATGTCTAACTCCTCCCATGGTTTACCAACTTAGCATGTAAAGTCCACAATCCATCTTATTAAGAAGCAATTTATGAAAATTTGTTTTGAAAAATTATTGGGGTCCTTCTCTTATTTACTAAATCCTGCATAACTTACAGGCCAAGTAGTAGCCAATGTCAAATTTTTTACGTCGTCAAATAGCCTCAATATAGATGAAAGGCAGAAGTTACACAAAAGTAAAAATAAATTAAAAAAAAGACTGCAGCACAAAAGATGAGAATTGAAAACGGACCTGTCCATTTGCTACTTTAGTCAATAGGTTTTGATATCCATTACACCAATTGCTACGTAGTCTATAGGTCTCAATATCAATTACTTCATTTGCATTTTTTTACCCTAATGAAATTGAATCATTGCATTTATTTTATTGACCAAGACAGTGAAGTGAAGTTTAAGAGCAAACCAAACCAGCAAAGGAAGACAGAAGCTTTAATTATAAAAATGAATACTTAGGCATAGAAAGCAGGAAAAGAAGAATTGAAAAATGACTCGAACAAGGGTGTCAACACCTAGAAGCTTGCTGGGAGAAGAGGATTGGAACTCAGGAAGAGGCGTTTTGGAACCTGAAGGCGTTGCCCCTTCAAAGACAATAGATAAAATTGAAATAATACAAAAAAGATTGGCATGACCACTGCACAAGGACACACACAAATTGAGAAATGGAGTCCAAACATGAGGGGTTGAAACTGAAGTGGCCACTGAATGGAAAATGTTGGAATAAGGAGTGAGTTGTTGTGTTGATCGAGGCCAGGTGGAGTCGACAACCAAGCAAGGACCCAGGGCTGTCTGGCATAAGATTTGAAATTAGTAGTTGGTGATTTTTTTCAAATCTAAACAACTGCAAAAGTACTGCTAAGCTAAGCATTAGCATCTTTCACGAACAAAATGGGAAACATCACGTGAAAAGTGAAAGTTGTAGTTACAATAGTGTTATTGTAGGTTTTATTGATTTTTTTATTTAAAGTGATTGTAGTATATAAGAGAATTAATTCTAATTTTAACCTTAAATTAAAATTTTTAGATTAATAAATATTAATTCAATTAAGTTTGTTATTAGGTTTTTTTATTTAGAATCTATGTAATGTTATATATATATATATT